GATCAGGTTCGGGTAGGGTTTTCAAGTCGTGTCAAATATTGACACCACTAATTTTGTATAATGAATTAAGAAGCCTTTTCGCTATCCAAATATCTAAATTCAATATGATTTAGTACTATTGAAATTGATTTTATATGCTTCAACAAATTAAGGTGTATGTTAAAAATAATATTGATGTTACTATGTATGATTGATAGCTAATTAGTATTAGTAGTTATGGCATGGCCTCGGAATTTCCAATACTTAATTTTACCAAGGATTACAAATGAGTCGTAATTTTTAAAAGCATGTTTTTTAATACTAATCATAATTATTAAAACCATGTTTTCTATCAATAAACAACCAAATAATCTCTAAAAAGAGTACATATGATCTAATAAAAAAATTAAAATATCCTCATTGTTAAAAGTTTTTTAGGGATAAAGAAGCAATTCGGTCAACAATTTTTTTCAATAGAATTTTAAAAACTAAATACACAAGATGATTGGAGAAGAAACATTTGGGTACCACTATTTAAGAAGAAACATTTGGATACCAATATTTAAGATTGTGCTGATTAGAAAGGAATGAAATTTATGATCAATACTATGAGGCTATGGGAGAGAGTAATGAAACACGAATTTTAAAACAATTAAATCAATTGTAAATAACCAATTTGATTTCATGCCAAAAAGATATATTTTGAAAGTGAGGTTTATACTAAAGCAATTAATGATGAAGTATACATGGCATAAAAAAATCTTCATATAATTTTTATTGATTTTAAGAAGTATGATTAAGTACCATTGAAATTGATTAGATATGCTTCAATGCATCAAGGTGCATGTCAAAAATAATGTTAACAATATTAAAGATATGTATGACAGAGTTGATTACTATTAGTAGTTATGGAATTACTCTGGAATTTTCAATTATTATGGTAATTTATTAGGATTATAATTGAGTCCATATTTTTTTAAAATTAATTATAAATGCTTACAAAATAATATTTAAAGTGAGATGCCTTAATTTATTTTTTTTGCAAATGATTAATTATATTGGTGAGACATCGGTTGAAATAAATGCAAAATTGGAAGAATGTAAAAAATATTTAGAAAATAGATCTTATAATTAGTAAAACAAAATCTATGTATATAATATGTTATTTTAGTGGTATAATATTAATAATTATCATTTAATAGTAGTACAATATAAGGTAATACCTAGGTATAATTGGTTTAAGTACGTTTATCTATTGTATAGAAAATGAAGATATAAATGGTGAAATAACCTTTTAAGTTAAAATTGGATTATTACAATAAAAAAATGCATTGAGAATATTCAATTATAAGAGAATATAATGTAATATTAAAGGTAAATTTTATAAAACTATAATTAGGCTAGTGATGTTGTATGGATAGAAATGAGAATGTTAAGATAAATATGTGGGAATAAAGAATAAGTTAAAGAATTATTATATTATTAAAAAAAACTGGAGAAAAATATGTATACCCATATTCATCTAGATCAAGTTGTCGTATGAACATGAACTTGGTTCATCAAAGTCATCAACCTCAAGCAAATCCAAAATACTTAGATTCAAGTACTTTTAAACTTGTCTCGTCCATGATCATAGCTACAAGACTCAGCTATATGTCTAGAGTACTGTTAGTCAACCGATAAACTCTCTCCACTTGAACTCAGAACTCACTATAATACTACTAGAATTTGCCAAAGGAACTCATCTACAAATGGAACTCATCGTCACTTGGAATTCATCCTCACATGAAACTCTTCCTCAAGTAGAACTCATCCTCACTCGACACTCGAACTAACTAAGAATTTATCCTCAAAACTCATTCTCATACAAAACTCATCCTAACATGGAACATATCCTCATGTGGAACTCCTCACAAAGAACTCAACCTCGCGTGAAAGTCATCCTCACTTGGAACTTATCCTAGCTCGAAACTCATCAAAAGTCATCAAACACTTGGACAGTTATCAACTAACCCGATTTGTCCATTTTAAAGCATACTTCATGGAGCCTTTATCTTGAAATTATGTAATTGCAGTCATTTCTATTATGTTGAATCTCAACATAAACCTATAAATAGGGGATTAAACAATGACCTCAATAGCATCTAATAGGCTCACGTGACATTAGTCTTATGCTTTCTAACACAAAAACCTATTTAAAATTCTCAAAGTCTCTCTCTAGATCTCTCTTTCTCTCTCTCTCCTTGCTCTTTAGATCGAATTAAACTTCTCAATAAGATCCTGATATCAACCATAGACAATTTTGGATCGAATATCCCTAAAGGTGCAATAAGTGTGGATGATGTTCATCTTGATGAAATAAAGAGGTCTTCACAAGAAGATCAATAAGATTTTATAACTACGAGACAACTCAATCAAATGCAAGGCTAAATAACTAAAATGTATAGGGAATCTAGCATTTCCGCCAAGCTGGTCCTTCTGTTCATCATCCTTGTGAACATAATTCGATCAACTCTCATCTTCATAAGCATCTCTGTGATCTTAAATCAACTTCCACTATAGGAACTATATCTTATCAAAGAGAAAACATTGTTGAGTCCCTCATCCTCGTTGACCCAATAAACAATTTGACCTATCAATGCCTTTTATGTTAAATTATAGAGGTTCAAACTCCGTTAAAGTTCAAGATGTCAATTAATAAAGCATATGGAGCTAAGTGAGAATTGATCGACCATGTTGTTCGCTTTGAATCAACAATTTTTCTCCTCACCATCCGTGACGATAAAATGATGGTTACTCCTCATAACATTTAAGGAAGAAATACTATAGAGGTTATCACAACTCCCTCCTAGAAGTATCACAAATTTCTCAATATTTAAGCAACTTTTCATCACAAAATTTGCTAGCATGCAAGGCCAATAAAAATCTCGTGAGCTCTTCTGAACATGAGGCAAGGAACCCACGAATCTATTCATCAAAACATTACTCACTTCCATCATGAGATGCTAGATGTCAAAGAACTAAAGCCTATTGTTGTCTGGTTGCACTCAAAGCCTACAAGAAGTACCTTTCAGATATGCACTCAACTTGTGTTAACCTGCCATATAAAACAAAACAAAAAAAAGAAAAAAAAAATTTTCGAAAGCCTACAAGAAGTACCTTTCAGATATGCACTCAACTTGTGGCAATTAAAGATATTGGCCTAGTTAATGAAACTCACCAATAGTCATTTAGTGTGAAAGAATATAATAATCTAGACGATTTAACCTCAAAGACTCATTATTCGAGTAGATTAAAGCCTCATGTTCAGAAGAGCTCAATATAAATGATTTAACCTCAAAGACTCGTTATTTGAGTAGTTGAGAGAGGAATTGGATGTCTTTGAGTAGATTAATAATTTATTAAATTAACTTTACTAAATAATTCAAATATTTTATTCAATTCATTTTAATTCATATTCAATAGATTTACCCAAAAAAGGAAATTAAAGAGGCATTTTGAGAAGTTGATCAAATGTGGCCTATAAGATTTAGTAATAAAAACAAAAGAAAATTCATCAACATTTTGTTAATTTCTATGCATAATAAAGATTATTATAATTTTAAATTTCAAATTCATTTTTGAAGTTCATCTTAAAATTACTAATACATCAAATTTTAAAACATTAATTAAATAATTTGTTTAATAATTTTTATTGAATGCGACATTATATTAGTTGAAAATTATTATTTGATGTGATTTAAATTTGATTAAATATGCGTATATCATATGCATTCATATACATACATATATACACATGTGTGTGTGTGTGTGACACCTGTTGCTTCTCATTACACTTTGTGCTTTAAAGAAACAATACCAACTTTTGTTCTTAATTAGAGCAAATTTTTAAGGATCGTATTACATGCATGATGATTGTGCTCGTGTCAGTAGTAGACAGCGACTACTTGAAGCCTTAATTTCAAGATATGCATTGTGTTCTATTTTGATGGTATCGTGTATGATACTGAAGTTAAATCAAACTAAACAATCTTAACGTCTATTTTTTCATTAGATTAGAGCTTGTGAGCATTTCTGGTATTTCTACTATATATTGTTGTTGTTATGAGAACATTCTTCATCATCCATGATATCTCCGTGCATAAGGTGCATAGTTTGTAAATGCAAGCACACTTTTTCATTTTATTTGCCTTGAAAATACATGTCTATAGCAATTAGTAGTTAACAATGCAACGTAGTTGTGCTTATTGTGATTGTTGGTGTTGATTCTTCGCATATAATTTTTGCTACTTATTGGTGTCTAAATGCTTTTGGTGATGAACTATAATTACTTTTATCAAACATCTATTAAATATATGTTAGCCTTAAGATTATGGAAAGTTGAATATGAATAAACCAAAAGTTGCAATAAGCTGTGACACGTAAATAGCACTTGGGAAATTTGATTGTGTTATTGGACACAATTAGCAAACATCAATATAAAGAAAAATGTCAAATAATACTTCACTTTCACTAAAAAATAGTCAAACAATTTGGTTTCATTGTTGTCATGGCAATGAAGTGCGGTATACAAAGATTGTGAATGACCATGAGTCAACAAATATGAATATAAGACCTAGAGGTTCAACTCAAATGATGTTTAAAGGTATTTTATTTTTCTATGTTTATAGGTTATCAGCCTGAAATGATGTACTTGTAAGTTCACTGGTAAGATTAAATAAGATTCAGTTCCACATCAAATGTTCTTTCTTTTGAGCCTTGGCTTTTGATGAAAATTTTGGCTTTCTATCTGGATTCAATATTTGGCACTCAACTTAATAGATTATATTACCATGAAAATCTTTAAATCCTTAAATAAGCAGTCAAATAGTTTGTCAAGATTTAACTCGATTTAACATCCGCATCTGTCATGTCAAATAGTTTTTATGATTTAACTCTCAGCTCATATAGTAAATCCGGATTTGGCAAATAAGATCCCCTATGGTGATAGGCAACAATAAACTTTATGTAAGAAAAGTTACCTTGTTAGGATCGACGGCATCAAGATACAGAAGTTGCGCAACTATAATGTTTGCCATGTCATCATCAACCGCTCCACCACACCTTATTATTCTCTAACCAACATGAGAAATCAGAAAAAAAAAAAGTTTATCTTTATTCTGAAACCCACCAGTAACTAAAACCCTAGAAAACCAAAATCTTACATGCTGGAATAGCTGGCTAATCACACTCTGGAACCTCTCTTGCACCATTGGCGGTGGACCCTGACCGCCTTGCGCTTCCACCGGTAAGTAAGGAGACGTAGGTGCTATCAAATCATCCCTAGAACACACAATAAAAATGAATTTTTTGTAAAATAGGAAGGTAAGGAATAGAAATTGGAAAACCACCTGATTGACCAAACTCCACTTATGCTAGGTCGATCCGTCGAGTAGACGGCGGTAGGAGAACTCCAATTGCATGATAGCTTCGAACGATTCCTGTGACGAAATTAAGGAGAAATCACGTTTCACTGAGAAAACAACCAGGGAAATGGGGAGGGGAGAGAACAAAGTGGGAGGAACGATACTTGAAGAACAGTGAAGGACGGAGGGATCTTTGGTGGGCAAAGAGGAGGGTTGTGTGATTGTTTGTGGTGGGGCGTAAGGCGGGAAGAGGAGAAGCCATTAGCGAGGAGTACGCCGTCGCTACCGAAGCCGACGAGAAAGCCGCCATTTTTCTTTTGTTTTCTTTTCGGTTTTCACCTTATTCGATTTTCCCCTTATCCAATGGATCAGCCTAAGCTTTTGACCATACTGCTCCATAAGATAGTGCGGAACAGGAGGCAAGGAGTGGATCGTAATTTGGGAATTTGGAAAATTTCAAAATTAAATTCAAAATTATTTGAGCTCTAATTTTCGCATACATTTAGGCGAGATAAATGTCATAATATGACAAACATAATGACATTAAATGTGATCCAAACAGAGTCCAAATGAGCCCAAATCAAATAATTAAAGTATAGTTAGAAACTTTGGGATTAATTGGATGACAAATCAGCCCTGAACCTTGAATCAAATCGAGTGGCTCGACGAGACAAATATAACAAGATTAAGATGACTTAATTCTAGGAGCATTAAAGCACTTAAATAATATATAAATGATCTATATAATCAAAGGATTCGATATGACTAGTTTGATATAGTGTTATTAAATATTGGCTTAATTTATCAAAATGTCCACTCTTAAAGTATCATAAATAAGCCTGCAATCTCCACATAGAAAGGACTATATACTTGAATGAAGAGAGAGCTTAGAGATTGAATAACTCAAGAGCTATAATTGACATTCGACATTGACAATCACCGCTAGCCACCACTTTTGCCCTATTACGATCCTCCGATCATTGTCACTTAACTCGATCCTCTAACCATCATCATTCAACTATAGTCCTCTGAACACCTTCACCCAATTACAGTTCTTCAACTATCTTTATTTGAATATAGTCCTCTAACCACCATCACGTAGACTACGGTCTTCCAGTCAATGTTGTTCAGCTACAATCCTCTAATCATAAATATTTGACTATAGTCCTCTGATATTTTTCAACTGGGTATAGCCCTCTGAGCATCTTCACTCGACTACATACCTCCAACCATCATTGCCCTGTTATAATCCTCTATCCTCCGTTGTTTGATTATGATATTATTACAATTACTATCACCTAAATATGGTCCTCCAATCTTTTTCGCCTAATTATGTTCCTTTAATCTTAATCTCCCAACTATAATCCTTCTATCATATGCCTAGAATTTAAATTGGAAGAAATATTCTTTTAATATTTTAATAAATAATAATCAGAGCTATCTAATATCATATATCAGTAATAAATAGCAAAAATATATTTTATAGTTCATTTGTCAAAAATTATGTACACTGCTCTGTATATACACAATCATATCGCATATCTATCAAGTCTTAAGTACAAAAGAATAGCTAAAATAAAAAGAACCTAAACCTGAAGGAATCCTGACCAGTCTCACACTCTTGATTCTGCCCTGACCTGAAATCATTTAACTATATATAATAAGCTAAAAAGCCCAGTAGGTTGCTAAAACCTACAACTGAATTAAAAGCATGACAAATGAGCAATATATATGTCAATAATCAAATCATAGCAGTTACATTCATATGATTATTGAATTAGTGTAGAAATAGTAATATTCACAATCAGTAATAATAGAATCTATAAATAGTAAAATAGTACAGTATGGAAGCCGATAAAGTGGTAAACCAATACAAGTGTCAAATCTTTAAAATAATCATCGTATATGTTATACCAATCAGTAAAGAAATTAGATAATGCATCAAATCCAAATATCAGTAAAGATTGTTAAAATCATGTCAATATAGAAAAATTATATAAGAGTGTACACATACTATCTAAGTATTCTATATCACATGCTCAATATCACATACTTAATATTAGTATAGTGTATCAGTAGTATCAAATAGTATTAATATATATATCAGTAACAGTTTAATGATAGAAGCATTGAAATAATGCAATAACAGTAAATCCATGTATTAATAATAAATCTGTATAATAATAAGAATAATACCTCAAGAACATGTATTTCAATAATCATATTAAACAAGTAAAAAGTCATGACTATCACTATGTTTTCAGTATTGTATTAGTGTTAGTAAACTATTAGCCTAATAAACAAAGTGTTTGTGATTTGAAATTATATTAATTCTAGAAAAAAACTATTTACTTAGGTCAAAATACAGGTTATTACATTAATATTCTACCATCATCCTCTGACTATGACCATATCTCTACCACTATTGTCATATTAAAATCATCTGATCATTGCCCAATTATAGTCCTCAAAACTCTTTCACATAATTATGACCCTCCAACCTTCTTGCCCAACTATAATCCTCGTACTATTGTTGCTCAAATATAGTCTTTTAGGGATGTAAGTGAGTCAAGCTAGCTTGCAAGCCGAGCTTATCGAGTCATGAACTCTAGTTCGAGCTTAGATTACAGCTCATTTAATAAAAATGTTCAAGTTCTAGCTTGACTGAACTCGACTCATTTGCTCGGGAGCCAGCTTGTATTTATGTTTTTATATTAAATAAAATCAAAATATCAATCCTTAAACTTTTTGATAAAATTCTTCATTTTTTTTTCAAAAATAAAATTAAAATGTGTTTTTTTTTTTTTTTTGGAGAAGATAAAAAGGAAAAGCTACTGCACTATTACAGCCTTTGAAGCATTGATACGGTGCTTTCTTTTCCTTAAAAAAAATGTTACGGTATATCCATCAACCATTAAAATAAATAATAAAAAGTTGTAGCTCACCCTTCTCACCGGGCTCTTATCATGACTTCCAACTCCCAATTCCTCAATACCATCTTCTTCTTCTTTTTTTCTCAATACCATCTTCGATTAGCTACCTAAGCCTTCTATGCAAGTTACCTATATAATGTCTTCTCCGTGAGCTTCCCGAGCCTTTCCAGCTACAATAATACCTTGAGCTACAATAGCTTTCTCCATCATGTTATCAGAGTGTTTGGGGTCATTTATATTTGTCGCTTGAACCTTGTCAACTCAGCCGAGCTATTGACTGAGGATCGGGTTTCGTAGGCTTCGTGCCTTTATTAGTGAATTCATATTGTTGAGCTCAAGTTCTAAAGTATTTTAACAAGTCAAGCTCAAGCTCAGTACACAAGCTTGCCTCAAGCTTGAGCCCGAGTTCGATCTTACCCTCATTATGATGATCCAATGTCATATTAGGTGTGAATTAAGCTTAACTCGATTCATTTACAGCCCTATGGTGTTATAATCCATCACCCAACTATATTCCTCTGACCTCAATCTCCCAACCATGATCCTCAAACCTCCTCGCCAAATATGATCTTATAACTACCATTACATAACCACCGTCATTCGACCTTCATCACCTTACTATGGTCCTCTAATCGTCTTCACACGACTATGATCCTCATAGTACCATCACCCAACTACCATCCTTTGTCCACACCACCTAACTACAGTCCTTTGACAATCATTGCTCAATTACATGCCCTTGACCACCATCACTAAGTGTAGTCCCATGACCTTTGTTGCTCGCTTTGGTCCTCCAACCACTGTTGCCTGAGTATAGTCCTCTAAACTCCATCACCCAACTACGACTCCTTGACAACCCTTACTGGACCAAAAGCCTCCTACCTTTGTCATTCTGTCAATGATCCTCCAACCACCGTTGCTCAATTATATCACTTGACTTCATCCTTTAGACCTTTGTTGCAAAATTAAGGTTCTTTGACTATCATTTCCTTACTATGGTCATATGATCACCTTTGTTAATCTAGGGTCACCCAATCACCATTGTTCAACTACAGTTTTTTGATCCATAGTCTTTTAATATATTTCGCCTGGCTACACCAATAGTGGTTTTCTTCATCATTTACCATCACTAATAATATCAATGCACAACATCATTTATAAGATGATGCATGCCATCAACACTAACATTGATTATAGAATTTAGTATTATAATTTATGCAAGATTTGTTGTGATGGTGGTCGATAGCATTTTGGTGAGATTAATGACTATAAAGGACAAATAATCTTTAATTAATATTTTAAAAATAAAGCCTATTACATTCCACAAGTAAGTAATTAAATAAATGAGGAGAGAATTGAGTACTTATATGTCTAATTATATCTATAAAAACTAATTAGGGTTAACCATAAATGAGGACCTTAGAGTTAGATAGGAGAAAACTTATAAGGAGAATAATGAAATGAAATTGAGATTTTGAATTGTTGAAGGCTCCTCTTAAGGGAAGTGAATTGAAGAACTAAATATATACTTGCAAATATCTTCACAGATGTATATTATGTAGTTGACATGTCATAATAAAGGAACTAGCTTCCAACAGGCCCCACAAATAAGCTCATCTAGAGATCTTCAGGTCCCACTCACCACGGCATACTAATAGAGATAGTCTCTTATAAGGGAAATTAAGGGTTATCATGAACCAAGTAACTCACCATTCACTATATAAGAAGAGGCCAATCATCAAAGTTACTTGCTCATATTTAGACATTTAGGATTGATATTGTCATGTAATGCTTGCTAACCTCAAATAAAAGAAAGAGCTTAATCACGAGGCTCTTAGCTCACCCAGTTGTGAACATCTAACCAAGGAGTTCTTCCTCTTCAAAACAACTCTCTCCCCTCCCACATAGCTGATTCTAGTCTCCAACATAGGTTGTCAACAACCCTAACACATCCATTGGTTGCGTACCCTTCAGCTCAATGCTCATCAATAACCTTGCCCATGCACGCTCACTTGGACCTACTTTGAACTACTAATGTCACTCCCCATAAGTAAAAATTTGAAATAATTATTCATTTTTTATCTTTTACACTATGACAATAACCACCAGAGCTATTTAATTTTTTTTATCAAAAATAAATACTAGTTTAGAAGTAATTCTATTGATCAAACATTAATATGTTTACACTCCAAAAATAATAGAAGAACCTGAAGAATCTTTAACTGAACAGTCTCATACTCCTGATTCTCTTCCTTGGCCTAAAATCATTTAAACTACAAATAATGAGCTGAAATGCCCAACAAGTCACTAAATCTTACAACTAAACTCAAATCATGGTAAAGAAGCAGTATGCATGTCATCAGTTAATTCATAATAATAGCTGTCAATATGATCGTCAATCTATACAGAAACAATAAATCATATGTTATAATAATAAAATTTGCAAAGAAATGGAGCAGTACAATACATAAGCCAATAAAATAGTACGATACAAAAATAATGAAATTTATAAACTAGTAAATTGATAAACCCGTACGGATGTTGAATCGATAAGATAGTTGTCATAGTAGTACTATCAAATTCATGAGAAAATTTATATAAATTAGTAAAACTAAAATATCTATAAAGACTATCGAAATCATATATATGCAGTAAAATCATATCAAAATATACACATGATATTCAACTCTTTATATCAGTATAAATCGATATCTTATATATCACATGGCCAGTAAAAGTAAATCAATAAATAGTAAATCAATCGTAGTAATAGTAAAAGTGAATCAATAATAGTATCAATAACATATCAATATCATTAGTAACAATATCAGAATTCATAAAACCAATGGAAATAATATTAATAATAATCAATATAATAAAAAAAATAATACATTGGTAGTAAAGCATCAATAGTAAATTAGAGTAATAAAATATATTCTAATAATCACATTAAACAAGTAAATTTTTTTGGTTTGTGTAGTGTTTTTTTAGAAGTGAGTAACTGATAATCAGTAATCATTAGCTCTGTAATCAAGGTCATCACTTGTTGCCCATCAGCACAATAATAACTCCTTATAACTCTCAATCAATGAATCACGTGAATAAGTCAAGGATAACACTAAATCACATTATTTAAAAGAAAGTTTGTTGGCACATCATCCCATGTAGATCAGTTAGTCTCCAACTAATGTTAGTAAAAATCAACATTTACATATTCTTACATATATTATTATTACAATATTAATACAATAATAACAACCAACTATTATCCAATCAGAGTCTTGTATTTATTCACAATACTTGTATTACCAATATGTTTGTATAAAAATACCAAAATTTATATTCTTTGAAAGGCATACAAAATAAAATAACTTTCATTTTACCTTGTAAAAATTATGAAATCAACAAGTCAAAATATTCAGAATAATCAGTGTTATAACATACAAAAAGTTATACATTATACATTCATTAAATCCTGAGAGAATGTAATAAAATCAATTGGGAAGAAATCCAATGGTTGAAATTGAAATTAAAATATTTGAAAATAGAAATATGATAAAGGTTACTTACCACAATCTAAACAATTTTCGTAAAAGCAGTAAAATGAATCGGCGACCAAAAATCCCTTTCTTTTTCATCTCTCCTCCTTCATTCCCCTTCTCTTTCTTGCTTATACGACAAGCCGACGTTGGTGGATGAGAGGGCTAGTAAGTGGAGAGAAATGGGTTTTAATATACACAAAAACATATTTTAGTGTGTAGCGCCTCTCGCTAAAACCAGCGTCGCATGCTAAATTCAGAATTACTGTAGAACAAAGCATTCAATACCACATCAAAATTTTTTGGCATCGTTGCACTTACAGGCTCAGCACCTCAGCACTCACAAGCTCAAGGTCATAGTCCTCACAAGCTCAACGTCATAGCGCTCCAGTTCAAATAGAAATTTAGATTATTTTTTTTTTCATTTTCTATTTATTTCAGAAATTTTAGGTTGTTACAAATGATCTCACCCAGAGGCAGATCCTAAAGGCCACACAAAATTTCTCATTTTAGCCAGCTAGTAGATGACATATATCTAGGGCAGTTTATACTAAGAGTCATTAAATCAATATATTTTATATTCTCTTAAGATGTAGCCTTTTATGCAGCTTTGGGATGCATATAAATAAAAGATGAAAATGAGCATTTGAATCTTTTTAACTCATAGAGATTTTGAACCTCTTGAGTACTTGTATTATAAGTTTTCTCTAGTGAATTTTTCTTTCCAGATAATCTCCTAGGTCATCCCTCTCAGAGTTTACCTGTTAATAAGGTTGGATGTCAAATTTAAATCCAATGTGCTAGATATGCTTATAGATCATGACAATTTGCTGCACATGTAAGCCACCCATAAAAGTGTATATAGAAATTTAAATTCTAAGAACTTCAAATTTATATCTTTAGGCTCTTAATAAAAGAAATTACATAAATACCACATAATTCTTATTTCTTTACCACCAAAATGCAGAACTACTCTCACCATTGAACTTCTCATCTTTTCCTCTGTTCTTACATGCTACTCAAGTTTCTAAACTTTGGCCCCTCCCTCAAGGGAGAAATTATTATGTGCGGACGCTGGAAGTAGAGCTACGTTCGGGACTCTAATAAAAATATAAAGTGTGAACTAGTGTATTAGTAGGCATTACTGTATATGAATCGTGTATTATTGTATATTAGCTAATACACAATAATAGATGTGTATTGTTATATATGAGCTAATAAATAGTAATATGTAGCTAAATACATGAAAATATATAATAATACTTAATTCACATGTCATATTTTTATTAAAATTCAGACTTAATTTTTATATTTGATGTCCGCACGTAATAATTTCTCATCATTGGGCCTTAATCCAACTATTTTTTGCTCTTTTAATCTCAGAAAAGCTGAGCTTATTATCAGAGGCGGCTTCTTGTTGCAGAGACCATTCCTCACTCTTTCCTCTGCAGAAATAAAAACTATCTACCTCTACAAAGGCCATTTTAGTCAAATTAACAGTTCCTTTCTTCTCTGTCATCCACCTCCTTCCCTTTCTTCAAAGCCTACGCTTTCTTCCCATTTCCTCCGAAATCTCATCCAAAGGACCAAAGCTACCTGCTTTCGTTTTACCCTTTTATTAAATTCGTATCTGTTTCTTCCACTTTTACACAATTCTTTAAACCTTCTCATTGATAGCTAAAATTCTGTAAAGGCGAAGACTTTCCCCGACCTCCATTGGAACCATTGCATGGACCGACTCACCTCCATCACTCCCCTGCCGATGGCGGTCGCCACAGCCATCACTGGCGAGTTCATAAACAACTCTCTGAGTTTCATGCCTACAAACGGTTTGATACCATTCCCAACTGATCCTGGCTTCACGAAGAGGGCCGCGAGCTACTGCTCCTTCAGCTCTGTCAACTACGGAGATGCTCAACTTGGCATGTTGGAGACTGGTAAGCTCTCGAGGGTCTCGAGCAGTCAGTCTCTGAAGTCAAAGGAGAACTCGTCCGTGACAGATCTTGGTTTGAGCCCTGGTGAAAATAATGCAAGGAAGAGGAAGACAACGCCGAAGAGCAAAACAAAGGTATTAGTTTTTAGAGTTGTCGCAGAATTTGTTCTTTGGTTTCGTTTCAATATTCTATGATACAGAAAGTTTGAGACTTTTCCTGCTTCAGGTGGCTGAGGAGAGTAATTTGAATGTGAAGAAATACCGGTCGGCAGAGACTAGTGATGAAAATGTTGCCTTTCAGCTTAAGGAAGTACTGAATGGTGAGAAAAAGCGGGGAAAAGAGGATGGCTTAGAACTCCCTGAGCCTCCCAAGGACTACATCCATGTCAGGGCAAGAAGAGGCCAAGCCACTGATAGCCATAGCCTTGCTGAAAGGGTAAAATATTGTTACCATTCTTGATAGATAAATCTTGTATATTGTGCTCAATCTTCATCACTTTCCACAGGTTAGAAGAGAGAAGATAAGCCAGAGAATGAAACTGCTCCAAGATCTTGTGCCAGGTTGCAACAAGGTATATTCGAAATTCCTTGGAAAAAAAATTATTTTGGTAAATTATACTCAATTTTATTTTGGTCGGACTGTTATATGACAGATAACTGGTAAAGCACTAATGCTTGATGAGATAATAAACTATGTGCAATCATTACAGCGGCAAGTTGAGGTAGATTGCACCAAGAAGATCAGAATTGTCTGTATAGTTTGCCTTGTTGCATTACTTATGGATGACAATATCTATTTCATTGTTTTCTGCTGCAGTTCCTTTCAATGAAGCTAGCCACTTTGAATCCCCGGTTAGATTGCAATTTGACCAACGTCGTCTCAAAGGAGGTAGCAATTGAAATCACTTTGAGAACAAAACTGATTTTGATATCATTTTTTTTTAACTGGTACTATTTTTTCTCAGCCTTCTATGGGCCAAACAAATACTTCTTTACCAAGGTCAGTTTACCCCTTGGATAATTTAGCTACAGTTCCATGTACTCACCAGTCCAACGATGGAAGCTCTCTACATGTTTGTGTGACCAAAGGCATGGAAACTCAAAGTCCTTTCAGCCAGGTCAATTATACTCTTTCCTCTGATGCTTTTGGAGGTACTACATCTCAGGTAGAAATTTACGATATGATGCATAGGAGGCAATGTTTTATTATTGTTTTTTTCTCTGAAAATTTGATGGATTTTGATTCTATTTCAGATTGGAAATCTCTGGGATTATGATCTTCATAGTGTTGTTCAAATGAGCCTTGTGCACAACCAGGAGACTGGATTCACCTCTCAAAACTTCCATGGTATCTTCTATAACGATTTAACTTTCATGTATTGGATATAGAAAAGGAACTTAAAATTGTTCACGCTCTACAACAGGGAAATTAGCTACCAACAACATGAAGGCAGAGCTCTGATAACTTTTGGCTTCATCAGAATGGAAGATCTCTTTTTATGTATATAGTAATATCAATTTAAGGTTTCGTTTGGGACGACTATTTTGTTGCTTCTTAAAGCAGTTTTTTAGTACAAAAATTAAAATTTTTATACTGAAAAGCTACTTTAAGAAGCAGCAAAAAAGTCGTCCCAAACGAAGCTTAAGTGTCTATAGGATGAGTAAACTGACATTTTTTAGTCATCCTTGAAACATCTATGTACTTTTTCCTTCCCCTACATTATGCTACTTATTATTTTTAGGAATTCAGTAAGATCTTCTAATTCATAGAGCAATAGTATCCTGTTTTGCAATGGTGTCTGAACACCACAAGTAAGATGCAATAGGTTTGTGAGAAAGAAATAACAGAGGGTGGTAAGATATATGATGAAACGGTATTCATTCTGTAATAAATTTGACAAATATTGTGATTTTTTTCTTTTTTACCGTCAATTGTGGCCATAATTAGAAGGCCTCCTTAATTAGTGGAATGATTTGTGCATAATTTGTCGAGTTGAAGGGACCCATTTGGTCCTAATTTATCAAGTCTTGAAAGGGACTTATTGAATTGATCTTCAAGCTTCCAATCTTTTCCTTTGTTAGGATGTCATTTTCTTCCTCATCCAACTAACACCGAAAAAATAATAATAGTATAGATCTTTCCCAGCTGTGACATAGTGACAGATGAAGTTAGCTGAAAGCTACACTGCTGATATAAATGGAAGGAATGATTGATATTATGCTTTTCTCAGTTTTGGAATTTTATTTTCTTGCTTTCTAATTCTTCTGCTGATGATTAATGAATAATGAAGATAATCAACACTTGTGAAACTAGTAGAAGAGTATACATTTTTCATGAAAGAAAATAAAAGGAGGTAAATTTCTCTGAAAAATTCCTTCATAACTGCATAAAGGTAATGTTTAATTTATTAGAAAAAGCATCATGCATTTGCTTAAATTCCTTTATAACTGCATTAAGGTAACAAAGTTCTATGCAATTATTGGCAAAGTGATGATAATGAAAGTGGTGGTGGCACAATCAATCATAATACTTGTAATATTTTGAGTTTTTATGAAAATAATTTGATTTATTTAAGAAGAATAGTTCATATATATATATAATAATTACAAAAAACAAAATAGTACAAGTGAATCCAAGCATATCCTAAAATTTGTATTTAGCTCTACTAGAAATATCTATCTTAATTACACCTCCATGTATCCCAATTCAAAGCACTGTACTGAGATCAAAGAGGGACAGATTTGAGTACTGTAGCAACTAAGCACTTTAGTATAGAAGCTACTGTTGCAAATAAAGAGAGCATAACGGAGTTCAGATATATACAGCTGCAGCAACAGGTTTGGGGTACCCTATAAGTAGTTCTGACGTAACCTTCTCTTCCTTCCTTGATTTTCTTCCGTAAAGAAAATATAAGAGGAGCCGGTTGTTGCCATTAGGAAAAAATTTTTGGCTCTTTGAATAGGCTAGATTTTAGCTTTTCGAACTCAAACAACAAGTTATCACTAATCGCATCTCTAGTCTTAAACATTTCAACAGGTGGCTTTGCCCTTAAATTATCATCATTCCAATACGATTTGATGTACAATTCTAATTATGTTGGAAAAAAATTTGTTAGTAGGTGGCACTCGAATTCTACTTGCATGACTCACTAGAATATTGCAGAGCTAATAGCGGAGAAAGAAAGGGAGAAAAGAAGAGAATGAGTTAAAAGAAAAAATATCTAACAATTAATTCTATTACCAACTAAAAAATGCATAGAGAAGCCTTTGTTGAAGTCACCATCTATGTGAAAGATGGCTTTTTGACATTGTATTTATAGAATTTTGAGTGCTATAAGAGAAGATATACAAAATATATGCATACAGCATGTTTAAAAATAAATAACATTATTGCTACATATATGTGGATGAGTTACTAATAATTACACGTGGATAACTATCTCAGATGAACATGGAAATGACATATAGGTGATAATATCGATCATGAGTAGTCATGGATCCTCATGTTGGTTAGGAGCAGCTCCTCAAGCTAGGGTACATAACTTCTCTGGCTGAGGTGAGTCCACATCAAGTTGGGCGAGTAGCTCCTCTGGCTACAGTGAGTTCCTCAAGTTGAGGTAAGTGGCTCCTCTAATTGAGGCGAGTTTTCCTCAGGTATGGCTAATTGCCTCTTTCTTTTGAGTTGGATCCTCCTTAGTTTGGCGCTATTGGCTCCACTTGCGGAGGTGAGTCTTTTTTAGGTTAGGCAACTGATCCCTCATGGATGCAGCTAGATTAATAGATGAGTTTTTTCATATCTCCTCAATTTGCATGCTTGTTTATTCATTTAGCTCAATGATTTTATTATACCTTTAGAGAGTGACTTGTATAAATAATAAAAGTATTCAAAAAAATATTTATTATTTTTTGCTGACCAATAAAAGAAAATGTGATAGATTTTACTTCTCAATTTTATTTCTATATCAGGAATATAGTCCTATTTTTTACTTTCATAATGACATCGATTTGACCGCTTTGTAGGTTAATGTGGGATGATTTAATAATATGGATGAGATTTTATCCTATAAGGTTTGTTATTTACTCAAATTTAATTTACTTTGGTTAAGCCTCTTCCACTAAATATAATGAACATCAACAACTGTGAGTTGAACCTAGGCATTCTTCTCAAGCACAAGGTAGTTCAAGTAGAGGTTGAGAGACAAAGGATTAGTGTGCCTATCGAGATGAAGAAGAATATATTAGTAAAAGCTATTGTAAGTAGGGCGAGAGCAAACATTAATTCTGAACTTAAGTAGAGCCCCTTGTTGTTGTATTAGCTAATCCCCCTACACCAAGTGCTTCAATGAGAAGTCAAGTAACCAATTTAGTGACTTTGAGTTAGTTAATTTGGTCTTAGGTAAGGTGAGCAAATATGACAAGATTTGCTCTAAGTAACCCTGGAGGAAAATGTTGATTACTTCGTTGCTCTTGATGAGATTGATGATTCCATTTGTTAAGAAATTCAAGACTTGAAGGCAAAATAATGGCCACTCACAAGTTTATAAAGTCCTCCAAATTGAGATAATTTTTAGCTAAAGTTGAGATTGTTCTGCAACATGTCGCTAGTAATGGGACTATTTCCCTTGATATATTATTGGACCCAAGTTTTGAATTATTCATAATAGTGAATAGGTGCAAACTCACCGTTGTGTAAATGTACCTAAGGAAAAAAAAATTCTTGCTTTTATTCTCACATACTCACCACTTGTTATAAATACTTTATGCTTTGTGCATTTTCTATGTCGAGTTCATATAGTTTATGCAATTATTTGTGATGAGTTTTATTTTAATTACCTACCTCATGGACCCAACATCTTTATCATCCTCAAAATGTGAATAGTCTTTCCACTATAACGATAAAGAAACATTTCATTTAAAATTTGGTCATTTATGGTGGATGGGACATTTGCCTCAAAAATCACATCCTCTTTATAAATATCCCTTAGCCCATTTTAGAATTCTTGCACTATTAATTTGCTCTTATGGTGGAGTTTTATTTTTTTCTTAATTTATTGAGCTTTAATCATGTAACTTCTTGTATTTACTGAATATAATTTTTATGGACATTTGGACAATAATATTACTGAATTTAGTCAAGTAGATTGATATTTATGATTTTCTAAAGATAATGCATATTATATGAATTGTTAAGCATTTCATAGTAATTCATGCATGATATTGCATTGCATAAAAGAAAATGATAGCAATAATACATGATGAATGCGCATTTGTATATAAGCAAAAAAGGTTGGATGTAAACATTATAATAATATGGGTTGGCTATTAAAACATAATACTTTATATATGAGGGTGGGCTGATAGATTTTTCTTAATATAAAGATTTGTGGTGTAATCCTGGATGTTTGTCTATAACTTATTGAATGATTTTTTAAAGGAGCATCAAGTGATGACTCTTTATTGATTTATTGAAAGATACATGTTTAAGAAAATGATTGATAAAATAAAGAAATGGTGAGATTGATTGATACATACAGATTGACCGATGAATTGAATGATATAAAGTTGGATGTCATTCCTGGCTAAACCATATACATGCATTGACATCATATAAATATTGATATATGATTGTATATGTGAAATGATAGGTGCAAACAAATAGTTAAGAATATTAAGATGGACAATTGATTCATGTGTTGCATACCTTGATAATATAGATGCAGATTTACTGATACAACATTCATAAATTATAGATTAAATATACTGATATAATAGGTATACAATATTACTAAAGATTACCGATCATATTGAATTATGATGTTTATTGATTGATTGTTGCATTTATATATACATTTTTTGTGTTGATCATATTGAGTAATAAATACATAGCCTATTATTATTTTATTGCCTTGAATTTATTTCTTAGGTAGGTTCTAACAATCTACTGGCCTTTGTTAGCTCATTATTGTAGTCTGATTGATTTCAGAATCGTGAAGGGGACCAACAGAGTGAGATTTGTTGAAGTCAGAATTGTATGTTTATTTATTTTGCATTTTTTTTAACTAGAAGGATTATAATAAATGAATGTTATTAAATTGAACTTCTTGTTATTTTATATTTAATTTTAATTAATGTATATTTCCATGTGATATGATAAATAAAAATTTTATGCTTTTGCTATGTTAAATTAAAATAAGAATAAAATTAGTGGCTATGGTAAAACTAATGAAGAGAAAATAGATAAATCTTCCAAATTTAGGTTTTGGGGCATCACATTACAACTTTCTATTGACTTAAGTGCCTTACCTTACTAGTCCCAATATACACCAAGCCAGTAACAATGCTGAGGAATCCTTATGGTTAGTAACTTGCTTCCTTATATTTGTACTTAATTGTCCCTATCTCTTTTTCCTTGAGATATTTATTTGAACGATGTCATTTTTAGGTAGGTCCTATCTTTAAGCCATCTCGGATAATTTAAAAGTACGGATATTCATAGATTATTAGAAAGGTCCCAAACAATTCAAATAAATCAAATTAGAGGAAAGATAAGGGCTTGGCATTGTCTCTTTAAACTTCAACAATGCCTCTTCTTCACTTAGCTTTATAGTTCCTCATGGCTTTCTAGCAATACCAACAATTTTCCTCAACTCAATGCCACTAACTATTATAGTCGTTGAACCATTTTCTCCTTCTACTTAAAGGACAAGGGATGACCATGATGAAGACCCATGAGGTCATCTCTCCATCTATGTATGGTCTCCATCATAAGCTACCTTTCCATGTAAAGCGATATATAGAGTTGCAAACGAACCGAGCCGAGCCGTATTTGAGTTCATTTATCAGCTTGTTCAAGTTCAGTTTGAGTTTGATTTGAGCTTTGTTATTTGTGTTCAATCTTAGTTTGTTTAAATTAATGGGTGTTCATATTTGGTTCATGTTTGATTTATTTCGTGCTTATCGAGCTT